AAAAAAAAAAAAAAAAAAAGAAAAATGTACGCGTGGGGTCGTTTTTAGCCAACATCTGTGGTGGATTGTCGTCACAGGGAAACGCCTAGATTGTGGAATACAGGAAAAATATAACTCGTTTCCGTGAGAGTTCAATGAAAAAAATGTCTCGTTCGCGTAGCATACGGTGCCATTTATAATAGGTAGGGGTATTTGTTTCAAGTTTGTTTCGAGTTGGGGTAAAATTCCCATGAATTCTCTTGCATTAAAAAAATCAGTCCGTTTATTTTACATATGCTACCAAACTTTTCGTTTCCAAATTAAAATTCTTCTAGATTCTACAAAATTATTTCCTCTCTTTCATTCAATTTCCCAAATCCTTTCTTTGTCCTTTATTTTAACGCAATGAATATCGAATGCTACGAAGATTTTTTTTTTTAGTGGCATGGTGTCATTCGATTCGCCCGAAAGTAATTCGAAGATCCATCGAACAATGCTAAAAATCCCAATCGTAAATCGAGAGAACCCCATTCAGCCAAATTGGGTCAGTGTGCCGCGCCGCTGGGAATCGGGTCGTGTGCTGGACACACGCAAGGAAAACGATTACAATAGCGAATTCGGCCAGGTAATGTTAGCTACCTCTGAAATGTATTACAGCCATTCTTATATTAAACCAATCCCATGTTGAACAGCCACACGTGTCACATATTTCACATTAAAAAAAAATTCCTTCTTCTATTTCCGTATCTATTAAACTATTAAAATATTTATCTCGTTTTCTTATCGAACAATCATGATTATTATTAATTTTCGTAACTTTCAACAAAGATTAAAAATTATCATCAAATTCCAATAATCGATCAATCTATCATTTCACACATACCAATCAATCAATATATCCAAAATACATTATAAAAATTTATTATCATCGAATGCCCATCCTTCGATCGATATCTTCCCAATCTACCCATCTCGACACACCTCGAAGCAACTGAGCATTCCGAGTTCTCAACGAGATCATCCACGGAGATGAAAAAGTCTCTTCTACCCCTTTCGAGGTGCGCGTAGCCACCCCATTCTTACGGTACCCTCCCTCCTTTTTCCGGAGAATGCTCAGCCTGGCTCGCAGAAGCTTCGTGCCCTGTCCGCTCCTTCGGCGCGGTGGCTCAGACGATCACCTGGCTCGAGTTCCCACGTTTCTGCGATTCGCGTTTCGCTTCACCCTTTTCGCCTTATACTCCATCGTTGTTGGTCCCTTGGTCGTCGGTGGATATCCCCATAATGCCGCGTACGACGCGGAAAAAAGAAGGGGGGAGTTCCATTTTGGTGGTGAAACGAAGAAAGAGAGAGAGAGAGAGAGAGAGAGAAAAGGAGGGAGAGAGGAAGGAAATAAAGAGGAGAGAAGCAGGAGAGTGGCGGAAGAGGGAAGGAACGGGAGAAGGTGGAAAAGAAAAGGAAGAAAAGAAAACGAGGCGTGCCTCGTGCATCCATTATGGGGCCCTGACCGCTACGAAGGTGCGCGTGGCTGACACACGAGGGACCCGCGATAGGGAGCCCGCCGTTTTATTGGCGAGGGAAAAAGAAAACGGTGGTAAGTCGGGCCAGGCCGAGTCGAGCAGGTATGTATTTGCATAGAAAGGCAAATGAAATTTCGTGTCGTGTCTCCCGTGAGACGCGCCAGCGTTTCCCTTCGAGGATCGTGGGAGGCCCTTGTGGGAATACTTTATAAGAGTGTGGATGTGTAAGAGTGGCGATTACGGCACGAATTTCGTTTCATACTTTTATCGTTTTATACTCTGTTCGTGGCTGTGCGAGTTTGTAAGCCATTCGTGCAAGCGATTCGAACCTCCTTGGATTGATTTGAGAATGGATTTGAAGATTANCGTATATAGAAACTTGTGAAATTGGTAATCGAAAGTTGGAATTGGTTGAAAAATACGAAAAGGTNGGTGAAATTGGGTGGTGAAATTTTTGAATGAAAAACGAAAAAATCAAAGTTGGATCGGAGTGTGAAACTTGTAGTGAATGAATCATCGTGAATCACGGTCCGAGCGCGAGATTGAATTCGGGATTAAGAATTCTTGCGATTGTTGTGAGCATAGTAACTCAATCTTTTCAACACATCCGGCGGTAACCGGGGTCCAAACAAGCGAGGTGAACGGTATTAAGAATCTGTTCACGAGTCCGTTAAAATCATTGGGCGGCCGATCTTTAGGAAACACGATCTGTTTAGTCTTCGCTGCTTGGAAATGAACCCCCGTGGCTCTTTCGTGGGACCGGGGGCAGGCGGCCGCTCGTTCCAACGATAATCCGCGTGCAACTGGTTAGTGGATTGTTTTCGTATTGTTCTGTTAATTGCCTCCGATTCCAGGAATATTACGATCCGTGGTGGGGTTAAGTCACCCTTTCCTGTGCCGGGAATCTGAACCGGAAACGGGCTGAGTTAACGTCTCTACTACTATTTTAAGCTGGACCTGATCTTGAAAGGAAATAGGACATAGTCTGTTTTCTAACTCACAATGATTAACGAAGAAACACACGTTGGGGAAAAATTTGTCAATTTATTTTTCTTCGTGCCACCTTTAAGAATATAAGTTTATAAGAACGAATAATATATCGGTAAATCTAAAATCTAATCTTTTTTATTCTCCAAGATTGGCAAACCTATCTCTCGACCTATTTCTCGTCCTAAAATCATCGATCCTAAAATTCCGGATAAAACGGGGGATTCGGGCAACATCGGAGGAAGATTCGTGGCCCGATTGCGCAAGCGGGAGACAAAGAGGGGGCGAAAGGGTCACGATGGGCCCACTTTCGAAGCCGGTTGTCGTCTGCCGCGATTCCAACGAGGTCGGCTCGCAACCTCACGGCAGGTTGGTGCATCAGCAACGACCTGGTCGCAGGGAGAGCTACGTGCGCAATCTTGCTCCTCGTGGCGGCGCTCCTAGCGGCCTAGGCGCCTT